TGCAGTATGAGAAACACAATGCTAAGTATGAGAAATCCAGACCCCAGAGCGAGGAGGACTGGCTCACCCCCGCGCACATCCTGGGTGCGTACGAGCAGTGCAGTATGGGGAACACGATGCTCAGTATGAGAAATCCAGACCACCCCCAGGGCGCTGCTCGGCGACCCTGCTCGCCCTCTCCGCTGCACTCCGTGACGTCATACTTTCCCCGCTTAACGGCCGCTGTCGTTGGCGACGCGCTCTCCCCGCGGCCGCTTCACCTTGACTTCCGGAGGCGTAAAACGGCCGTAAAGGGTCGTAAACGCGGCCCTAAAGCAAATTAATAAACGGCGGAGTGTCGTCGCGTGCCTCCCGCAGAGGCTACTACTTTGCAAAGGAGGAAAAATGTACTTGACTCATTTTCTTAAATTTTTATTTGGTTGTGATCGCCAGGTAACATGTGGGGCCAGTCGTGGATCAACGTGTACGACCTGGTGGAGCCCTTCCCGAACGCCACCTCCTACGACGTGACAAAGGCCCTTCGGGAGCAGGTGAGTTTCGCCCGCTTTTGACGCGTACTGTATTGCGTCACGACGCTACCCTACCGACCCCTTTCTCTGCCGGCAGCGCTACAACGCCCTCAAGATGTTCCGCAAGTCGGACGAGTTCTACACGTCCATGGGGCTGCTGCCCAGCGAGATGTCCTACGGGCCGCGGGCGGTCATCGAGAAGCCCCGGGGCCGCGAGATCATCTGCCACGGCTCGGCGTGGGACTTCTGCGACAGGAAGGACTTCAGGTGGGGGGAGTGTCCGCGCCGTGAGGGGCGGGGGCGGGCCTGTCCCGGGGGTGGCCGTGCTGTCCTCCCTCATCTACAGCACCGCGCTCCTCTCTGTTGCAGGATAAAAATGTGCACCAAGGTCGACCAGGACGACTTCCGCACGATTCACCACGAGATGGGCCACATCCAGTACTACCTGCAGTACAAGGACCAGCCGTACATGCTGCGCAGCGGGGCCAACCCCGGTGCGTGTCCCATAAGCTCAACAGCAATGACAACGATAAGTTGCTAGGACACTTTGTTGTTTATTGTTAATATTTTTATTTATTTTTACACCTTTAGGATTCCACGAAGCCATCGGCGACACGATCGCCCTGTCGGTGGACAACCCGAAGCACCTCAAGACCATCGGGCTCCTCAAGGACTTCGACGACTCGGAGGAGAGCAGCGTCAACGCGCTCATGAAGATGGCGCTGGAGAAGGTAGGCGTCCGCACTGCGTCCCCGGCGCGAACGGCGATGACTCAAGGGGGGTACTTTACTTTAAAAAAACAAAAACAGAAAAAAAAAATCAGAAAAATCAAGGGAAAATCAATTTTAAAAACAATCAGGAAAAAATCTGAAGAAAACAAGGGAAAATCAAGTTTTAAAATCTGAAAAATGGTGTTCGCTTGAATTTATAGTGAAGTGCCCCTCCTGTCGACTGCCCCCTGCCGCAGGTCGCCTTCCTGCCCTTCGGCCTGCTCGTGGACATGTGGCGGTGGGACGTGTTCTCCGGGAACGTGTCGCACTCGGACTGGAACCGCCACTGGTGGCTTCTGCGCGAGGACATCCAGGGCCTCAGGTCGCCCGTGCCGCGCTCCGAGGAGGACTTCGACCCGGGCGCCAAGTTCCACGTGCCGGGCAGCTACCAGTACATCTCGTAAGTGCGGCCCGGCGTTAACACACTACTGTCCGAATTGTAAATGCAGCTTATTACACACTTTGTTACACTTTTGCGCAGTTACTTCGTGGCGGACATCCTCCAGTTCCAGCTCTACAGGGCGCTGTGCATCGAGGCCGGAGAATACAGACCAGACGACCCCTCGAGTCCGCCCCTGCACAAGTGCGACTTTTACAACTCGAAAGAGGCGGGCGCCAAGTTCAGGTAAAGTATATCATCCACATTAAACTCAAACTAGGTCACCAAGTAGTCGGCAGCCAATGTTTACAATGCTGTGTTAGCAAGGGCATGGCGCTTGGCGCGTCCGTGCACTGGAGCGAGGCTCTGGAGCAGCTCACCGGGGAGACGGAGCTGAACGCCACCGCGCTCCTGGAGTACTTCGAGCCGCTGCACCGGTTCCTCCGCGACGCCAACGGCGACCTGGACGCCGAGGCCGCCGCCATCGACGCCTCCCGGACGGCGGGGGCGTCGGTGTTGTCTTCCGTAGTTACCCTGCCCGTCGTACTCCTAATGCTCGTGATACTTAATCGATAATGCCATTAAAGTGATACGTTTTTTTTTGTTACAAAGTTTGTGCTTGTTTTCTTGTTGTTCCATCCTTTGATCCTATCTCATTTGGAAATACTGACAGTGTCTGGTGCCGTAGTCTGAACATCTACATCAGATTTTCGCTTTTGAGTTTCCAACACTCTCCGCTGGAGAGTCATTTCACACAGGTTTGTGTGCCTATCGTATTCAGTACCTTAATTTTAGTGCAACAAATAAAGCGATCCGGTAAAGCTGAAACGAATATCAAAATGAAAATCACTACATATGCTTAAACTTGGTGACTTCCGTTTACTTGTTCCCCGCATTCTTCCGCATTTCAAGCTTGTCGGAATTGTTTTACCCCCTCCCCCCTCTCCCCTCTTTCCCTCTCGCCGACACCGGCACACGAGTCGGTTTGTGCCGTCTGGGACTCGCATCAGCAGAGCAGATTCCAGCAACCGATAGTGATACGCCAGCCGAGTCAAAACTGTCAAGTTCAGGACTCGTCCCTTCGTGTCGACACGGAGTAAGAAGTGCTTCTCCTGGAAACACTCACAACTGTCTTCGCAGTCAAACGTCGCATCTCGGTCATTTGTGAGCGGAGCTAGCAGAGCGGAGGGAGCAACACGAGAGCAGAGAGGTTAGGACGCCCGCGCCAACCGGTGAGTGAACGACCGATCTGTCGCGGAGAGTACCAATGTCCTGTACTTGTGGACAGTGGTGAATTCAAGTTTAGATGGTGCTGCTAAGACTTTGCGTGAAAATGTTGGAGCGGAATCACTGAGAATGGCCTTGCAGGGGAATACCCGTACGGTAGGAAAGGGGGGGGGGAGGGTAGACTCGGTGCAGACGGCCACCGACTTTTCGGGTCATTCTAAAATTTTCATTCAGTATGACTCCCAAACAACATCTACAATTTGCAAAGGCATGGAAAAAAATCTGGTTCAAATATTTCATATTTGTGTCTTTGCCATTTTCCATTTTATTTTACCCAGTATTAAAAGTTTACCACTGACTTCCAATAGCTTTTAGAATTATGTCAAGCGGAGAGTCAGTGTGTCAAACATATTTGATTGATGAAGGAAACCTTGTCCTTTATAAGTGCTAGTATGGTGCACCAGTTGGCAGATTGCAGTTCACTTTCAGAATTTGGTAATTATAGTTCACTAATTCCCATATCCTGATAACCATGTTATCATGTCCGTAGATCAAAAACAATGCAATTTTGTGATGAAAGTAGTACTGTATCATAATTCGGACCAGGAACGGCCACACTTTTCTATATCATTCCAATACCTCTATACCGTTTCCAATGCGGTTTCTTAGCTGAAAGTAGGGACTAAATTGCACCATACAGAGCACAATACTCGTTGTTCCACTTTCTAAAATAGAACAAGGATGATAGAGGCAAAGAACTAGTAACAAAGATGTGAATATATTCAAAGACCATTAGACTTGTGTTGTATAGAGTGTTTACCTGCAGCTAATAAGACTACCGCATAGCACTGATGGTCACACAAAACTTGTGGAATGACAACTTAGCACGTGCAGTGGACCGAATAAGTGGAGGACCTTTGGGCAAATTCTGAGCTCTTCAAGTAATTATTGGTGCTTGTGTAGAGTGATATATTTCGGCACTTTTGAACAAGTAAAGTTATTTTTGAATCGGGTGGAGGTGCCGTCGTGGCAGCTGAGTTGGTTGGTCTATTACTTCAACATTCCAGATCTGTGCCATTGTAACTTCATTTGTGCAACTGTCCTCTCGTTTCTAGGAGTGAGATAGCCTCGTCCTGTGTAGCCCCGCCGCTACTTCGCGCCGTGGCGCTACTCCCGTCCCACCGCTACCCCGCCCCTTCGCGGCGCTACCCCGGGCGACTGACTGCGGCTCCCCAGCCTGACCATGAAGTGCGGCATCTGCACCGAGCCCTTCGACGCCACCGACCGGGTGCCCAAGGTTCTCGTGCCGTGCGGGCATACGGTCTGCTTGCAGTGTTTGGGGCTGCTGCCCGACAGCAGGTGCCCGACGTGCCGCCAGGTGAGTGCTCCCTGGGCGTCCTGTGTGTCCTCTCCGCACCCTCCATCTCCCTGGTCTCTTCTCATCTGACCTTGTCTCCCTGCAGAACTTCAACGGCCCGCCGCCGGAACTCCCTACGAACTTCACAGTTCTGCAGTTGCTGGAGGGAGTCAGGCAGGAGAGGTAAGCTCACTTGGGCGCTGCTGGTCTCGCTTTTTTTTTTTGTGTGTGTGGGGGGGGGGGGTCCTGTACCTCATACCTCATGGCTTGACTTGTGCCCCTCAGAAGTCCCTGCGCCTGGTGCTCGGACTGCCGCGCCGCCGCCACGCCCCGCTGCTGGGAGGACCACGACGTCCTGGCCGTCAGGAGAGCCCTGAGGCGTCAGCTGCGTGACGCGCAGCCGCAGGCCGACGAGCATCTCCAGGGCCTCCGGGACGAGCAGGCCCTGGCCGCCCTCACCCTGCTGACCGGCGAGACCTGGGACGTGACGCTGCGGGGCGGCGGCCGCGAGCTGACGGGGACCCTAGGGCACGCCGAGGACCCCGCCAAGAAGATCCTGCGGCTCCTGCTGGCCGTGGCCCTCACTGAGGTAGGAGACGTGGCGTTCAGCAATGTTTCACAACGCCGCGGCACGCAAAATTTACTTCGCTTTCGCAATTTCAAAGTTAAAGTGCAGGTGAAGCCAGTTAGAGGCTCATGAAAAGAAAACGGTTTTGCACTTTTTGAAGCGGGCCTCAATGTAGACAAAGTGCTTGTGCAGGACCGAGCTGCCGCCCCGGACTCGCCACCAGCTGCCGAGGCGCTGCTACAGCCAGAGATGGATGTAGCAGCTATCAGCGACAGTGAGCCCGACGCCCAGCAGCAGGAGAAGGCCACCGCCCTGCGGGACGCGCCCGGGGTGAGTGTGCTTCGCTTCGCGGGCAGCCTACGGACGATCTGCATGTGCCTGACGGGGAGCGTTCGGACCGGAGATCCCCCCCCC